AATGGATGAGTGAGTGAGCAAATGAGTGAGTAGGTGAGTGGGTGGGTGAGTGGATGAGTGAGTGAGTAAATGGATCAGTGAGTATGTGAATGAGTGGGTGAGTGAGTGGATGAGTGAGTGGATAAGTGAGTAAATGGATGAGTGAGTGTGTGAGTGTGTGAGTGGATGAATGAGTGGATAAGTGAGTGAGTAAATGGATGAGTGAGTGGGTGAGTGAGTGGATGAGTGAGTAAGTGGATAAGTGAGTAAATGGATGAGTGAGTGGGTGAGTGGATGAGTAAGTGGATGAGTGGATGAGTGAGTGAGTGGATGAGTGAGTGAGTGGATAAGTGAGTGAGTAAATGAATGAGTGGGTGAGTGAGTGGATGAGTGAGTGAGTGGATAAGTGAGTAAATGGATGAGTGAGTGGGTGAGTGAGTGGATGAGTGAGTAAGTGGATGAGTGGATAAGTAGATGAGTGAGTGACTGGATGAGTGAGTGGATGAGTGAGTGGATGAGTGAGTGGGTGAGTGGATGAGTGAGTGGGTGAGTGGGTGGGTGAGTGAGTGAGTGGATGAGTGACTGGGCGAGTGGGTGTGTGAGTGAGTGGGTAAGTGAGTAAATGGATGAGTTAGTGAGTGGGTGAGTGAGTGAGTGGATGAGTGAACGAGTGCGTAAATGGATGAGTGAGTGAGTGGATAAGTGAGTGAAGGAGCTGGACTCTGAACTGCCCTCTGAGCCAACAGTCTCACAGCTGACCCAGGTCATGGACTCTAGTGAGGGAAATACTTCACCTTTTTTACAAAGAAAAATCACCTTCTACAAACAAGAAGGGAATTTTGCAGGCAGCTGGCCTTGATGGTGAGGCTTTTAACCGCCCTAAGGAGACATGTGGTCCTGTTCCAATATGCAAGGACTCCTTACAGCCATCCTGGAGCACCCACTGGGTCCTGATGAGGCTGGTGGACCAAGTCACACCCTGTTACCCCTGAGGGGACCTGTCACCCACAGGGTCTGTTCTGTCAGGGAACCAGGGCAGGCACTGGCACCACTGAGTCCTGCAGTACAGTCAAGGGGGCCCTGGGCCCTGGCCAGGACTGAGGCACCAGCACCCCACCTGCTGGCCCAGATCTGGCTAACACTTGCCATGTCACCTGGGATTCCCACCAGGAGGCCAAGAGGCAAGTAAGGGGTACCCTGGTCAATCCAGGCTAGAGCCTCTGTGGACCTGGGCATGGGGCCCCACTGAGAATGCAATGTGGAGGGGGGTCAAGGAATGTGAGTGTAGCAGGGTGGCTCCTTTCTCCAAGCCTGCCAGGGGGACTCCTCTCCCAGTGGTTCTTCCCAAGATATCCAAACTCTGGGGTCTAAGAGGTGAATCCCTCAAAGGTGTAACGGCTGGAGTAGGAGAGTGCTGAGAGGCCTCTCAGGGAGACAGGAGAAGCAGAGTAGGAAGGAAGAGGGAGGGCCCAGACAGGGTGTGTTAAGGTCTCCAGAGCTGGCCTCTTCAGACTCCTGCTGGGTTGGTCAGCGCACCCAGCTCCATTACAACTGTGGCCCAAAGCTGGGTAGACAGCTATGCAGCCCACCAGGTGGAGGTGGGGGCCCCTACAAGCATTGACGAGACGTTGGTGCCCACCCAGGGCATGCTCATGGGCAGTTGCAGAGCCCAGACCCACCATGACTGTAATATTTAAGAACCCAAATTCCTAACCACCCATTCTGTCTCTGCTTGGCAAATGCCTGCCAAACTTCTACCCAACCTTCAAAGCCCACCCCTGTGGCCTGCAGTATCACAGGGCCCTCTGCTCTGGGTTTTTCCAGTATCCTCTGCCATCAGAGGAGTCCACAAACTCACAGCACCCCTCCTCCCACCCTGGAAATGGCCACAGGCAGGGCAGGGCACTGGCTGGGTTCCTCTCATTGGTGGGGATGGGAACGCAGACATACGCACTCTCGGCACGTGCCAGAGGCCTCCACTGGGCAGGGGCCTAGAGTGCTATTGTCTCCTAGTGGGCTCTGGACAAGCCCCTTCTGTCTGTGAGCCTCAGTCCCCCCCCACACACACACAGGGCCAAGGAGTGGACACAGTGCCAATGGCTAAGGACTGCCCACACAGCAGGCCTCCCACCTCCGACCCGCCCAGGACACCCACCACTGGGGTGCAGGGGTCTGACAGGCCAGAAGTAATGGCAGCAGGCAGCAAGCCCCCCACCTTCATCCCCCAGCCCCCAGCCCAGGCTCATGTTGCTATGGCAACTTCCCAAGGTCAGCAGCAACACGCCTGCCTCCCAGACAAAAGGCAGTCACACCCGCCCTGCTGGGCTCCTGGGCTGTGGTTGCTAAGAAGCCAGCCTGGGGAGGACACCACCCACATTTCCCAGTGACAGGATCCCTCCTCGGGCACCAGGGCCCAGGACTCAGGCATGGGAGCTGTTCTTTCTTTTCAGAAAGTCTCAGAGGCTTCAAATTCTGCCAAACTTGACCCCCAAGCCTGGTGGCAGAGGCCCTTAAAGCAGGACTAAGTGGGTCAGAACATCTGCCCTGTCTGTCCCCCTGCTCATGTGCCACCCTGACTGCCAACTTGCACTGGAACCCCCACCCCCACCAGAGGGTCCCAGTGGGCTCTGTGCGCCTAATTGGGGTGGCAGCAGAGGCCGGCTGAGGCCACAACAGTCACTGGCAGCAGTGGCGCTGTGCTCCAGCGTGGGCCTGTTCATCAGCCAGGCTTTGCCTACAATGCTGACAATGCCATAATCATATGCCCTGTCACTCCCCAATCAGGCCGCGCAGTCCCCCTGGACCAGTGCTGATAAGGCGCCCTCCTTGCTGGCTGCCCTGCCTGGTGATTCATGGACAAGCTTATCAGCGCCTGCGTGGGGCTGCTAATGGGACAGTGACCCGCAGCTGGGCCTGCTATTACCACTCATTACCACGATTACATCCTGTAATCCAAATTCTTTGCCCAGGCAGGATGAGAGCAGGAGGCTCGCCTGAGGCCTGCAGGACCAAGCCCCCGTAGGAAGGGCTGAGTAGAGCTGCCAGAAGGGGAGGCCCTGGACACACTTGGCCCCCACACGCCTGCTCCCCTCCCCAGGTCTGTTCCCACAGCCTTCTGTCCTGCTTGCCCCAGGCCAGGCACTCTAGGGGTTCCAGAGAGAGCATACGATGAGCCCCAGGGACCCCAGGCCCCTCAAGCTCCAGGCCTGGGACAAGAACACCTGTGACATCAGACACAGTTACCCTGACACACAACGCTTTTGGCTCTTGGCAGAGCTGGATCTGCCCACTGACCACCCCCCACCCCACCCCACCCCTGCACCAGTGAGCTTAGGGGGCCTAGGCGTGGCCTACCCTCCAGGACACCTTCCCTGGTTCACCTCAACCTCCTCCATCACTCACACATCCCCTCAAGCCTTTGCTGCCCCCCAGGCCCCATCCGCCATCCTCATGACTAAGGGGCCGGCCCCAAAGACTGGTTGTGGTCTCTGTGGCCCAGAATAGGACCCCTACCTACAGTGGGCACACACTTTGGGCTAGCCTGGACCTTGGTGTTTCACAGACATTAGCTTGCTGCAGCTCACAGCAACTCTAAGAGGAAGGGCCCCACCTGGCAGGTGAGAAAATTGAGGAACAAAGAGGTTAAGTGATTTGCCTAAGATTACACAGTTCGGAAGTGGCAGGAACTGAGCTTCAACCCTGGTAGGACCCTGCACCTGACCACACAGCCCCTCCTTGGCAGTGACCCCTCGGGGATGAGAAGCCTTCACCTGACACCAGTCAATACCCACGGGACAAGCACTGTCCTTTAGGCGTCCTAGGAGGCCAACCAGCCCTCCAGCTGAGAGCTGCCAGCCGCTGGGTCCACCCAGCACCCACTAGCTCAGCATGACCACAGGCGAGGTCATGGGTCCCCCATAAACAACTCACAGGTCACCAGGGGCCCAAAGCTGAGGGCCTCTCACACACACTCATCCTCCCCCAAGAAACCCCAGGGCTTACCTTATGAAGAAGGAGGCTGCAGCCGATGGACCTGTGGAGCCTCCCGCTGTGGCACCAGGGACTGGAGTCACCAGAGCTGATGTGCAGGCCCCACCACGGCCCCATGCCTTCAACAAGCCTTCAGGCCTTGCCGTGGGAGGGCCATCTCGGACTGTGTCTGCCACTGCCACCGCAGCCACTGCTGCCTCGGCCTGGGGGGTGGGGGGAAGGAGAGCATCCATGTGAGAAATAAACAGTGGACAGAGAGATGCCCACTACCCTCCAAGCCCAGGGGAGTAGGCCTAAGCACCCCAGAGTCCCAGCATGCTCCCTGGGGCCCTCATATTCCCAGGACCCAGCTGATGAGTCTGGGAAGGCCCCAGAAATCAAGGCTAGGAGACAGAGGGCCAGCGGGGAAGGGCCTTGCCTGGGTCCCCCTCCCCAGCTTGGGATGCGAGGTGGGGTGTTCCATCCCTGGCAGGGCCCTGTGGAGGCAGAGGCAGGTGCAGACAGCCCCTCCCCCACCAAGCTCCAGAAAAGTAGTGACCATAGTAGTCGAGACAGGCGGACATGGCCCTGTCTGGGCAGGCGGGAGCACCCAGGGACAGAGGAGCAGCCACAGTGAGCACTGAGCAGGAGAGCCAACTGCCCTATGGGTGACGCTGGGATGCTCCCTCATCTGAAATACTGCACTGGCGTTTCCAACTAATTAGCTAAAATAAATCCCAGAAAGGCAGACAGCTTCACAGTGAAGCAAAGGAGTAATCAAACACTCCCAGACCAGCACCTTGAACTTGAGATGCAGCCTCTGTGTGTTATGTGCACATGTCAGGCCCTGGAGCCCAGATCACCCTCAGCCCCGGGTGGGATGGCGGATGCAGCACCCAGCAGGGCAGGGGAGCCAGCCCGGTCGCCCCAAGGCCTCTGTCCCCTTCCCCAAGAGCCCACTGCTCCCAGCCTTTGAAGTTACACCCTGGGCCCCGCAGCCTGATCACTGGGGTGCCGAGCTCCACATAGTCCCACATGTACAGTCACAGCCACTACCCAAAGCATCCTGTGTGCCCAGGCTGGCAGAAGCCAGGCCCCATGCTGAGGACCTGAGCTGGTCTGGTATTCTGAAGTTAGGGAGCCCAAGGTAGCAACCTTGCTACAGAGGGCCCACATCCTTAGGATCCCCCAAGTGATATAGGCCAGCGGTTAGGCACGGCACTTGAGCAGGGCATGTCACCCTGAGCCCCAGAGGGAATATTGCAGAAGGAGCCTGCCATCCAGGGCAGCTTGCCTGCTCACTACAGTGAAGTCTCACCCTGCCCACTCATAGCCAGTGCCAGCTTCCAAACCCCTCCTAGGACAGGAAGCAGAATCATGTCTACTAAGGTGGGTCACAGAGAGCCCAAAGCTGTAGGCTGGATGGAAGCCCAGTGCCCTCCTAGCTCTGGGCACTGGCCACTCCCCTAAGACCTTAGGAAGAACAGGTCAGTATCAGAAAAGGGTACACCTGGACCTGCAACTGCCCGTGAGCACTGTGCCAGCACATGCCACATCCCACCACCTGCCCACGGGGCAGGAACCCCACACAGCCCTCAGATCCCAGCCTGGCCATTCGTGCCTTCTCCACACCCTCCCTCATTGTGAATGTGTGTGTTCTTTTTTATCCCTTAATATACATGTTCCTAGGAAAGTCCTAAATTCCCTTGCTGAACAGGGCAATGTAGGAAAGAATCAATTTTAAAGTTACAACATTAACCACAAGGCCTGAGCTCCAAAGAGCAGAGCTGGATTCAGCTGAGCACCCACTGGGCATGGCAGCCAGCAGCGGGGCCAGGAGCTCCCAACGGGAGCCAGGGAAGGGCACACCGCCCAAAGCCCACCTGGTACCCACAGGCTCCAGCCAGGGCCCTATGATGGAACCAGGGTGGGGCCCATGCTCAGCATCCCAGACCAGGCCCAATTGCCCTGTTCAATGAGGCACAAGGACATCCTGCCTCCCCACCAGACACAGGAGGACTGAGGCTGGAGGGCTCATGGCAGGGACAGAGCCACCCTCTCCCACAGGGCCCTAAGCCATCCCACCATCTTGTGCCAGCATCTCCGCCTCCAGCTTGGGCGTCCCAGCCCTGCCCGTGATGGGCACCTGCTCCAGCCAGGCCTCCCACACTGACCTGTCTCAGGAGTCCTGCACGGGCCTCGGCTCCACCGTCCCACGAGCCGGCGTGACACAGCCCCATCCATCGGGACGGCCACTGCCAATTCCTGCCAGAAGCAGAGCCCAGGCATGCCAAAAGAAGCCATCTGAGACAGAGCGAGAGCGAAGGGCAGGAGGGGCGGCCAGAGGGAAGACCACAACACGGGGACAGAAAAGAGGGGGCAGCCAAACAGAAAATGCGATGGAGGCGCCACAGCAGCAACGGAAGGAAAAGCATGGAGAGAGCAGCAGGTGAGGTCGGCGCCCACCGCGGCTGAGGCACACCCTGGCCAAGAGCCCCCCACCCCATCTCTGCTCACTCGCCATCCTCCAGCACTGGCGCTGCCAGACCCACCCCGTGAGAGTCCCCCATGGCGGCCAGCACCAGAAAGCACCTGCCGGCCCCAAGGAAGACCAGGGTCCCATGGAGCACAGTTAAGGCCCCTGTTCCTTGAGGCCTCAGGCTGAACTCCACATCTGTAAGGCCTGGCACAGGACGTACCCAGCTCCCCAGACAAATGCCTCACTAGAGCTATTTTGTGCCAACAGTAGGGGAAGAAAAAGGGAGAGGGGCTGAGAGTGGGCAGAATGGCTCAGGACTGAACTGGGAAACAGTCCCACACCTGTGTGGAACCAGCAATCATCCAGGGGTTATGTGCCCATCTCTGGAATGGAGTCCCCTTGAAGTCCCAACCTCATTTCCCTGAAGGCTCCAGGGCCCACAGCCCTGAGCTGGGAAACTTCCACCCCATGAAGGCCCAGTCCTGCCCTGTCGCAAAAGCAGCTTTGCTACAGCCACACGGGGAGCAGGCATCATCCTGTCTACTCCCACTCCTTGGGCAGGTAAGCTGAGGAGGGGCCCAGGGGGTGTCCTCAGAGAGCCAAGTCGGGACCCAGCCAAGGCTCCCTCCAGCTTCAGTGTCCAGCCACAGTCCTATGGACAGGGGACACCCACCAGACCCCCTGCAACCTAGCACAGGGGCAGCAGGAGCCTCTAGCTGACACCACCAAACTGTCACAGACCACATGGCCCTGCCTCCTTGGGGCACTACCTAGACCACCTTACCTGCACCCCAGCTGTCTAAGCTGCAGCAGTGCCTTCTCCATGAAGCTCTCTACCTCCCCTGCAGGTCAGGCTTCCACTGCCACAGTCCCTGAGGCTGGCCGGGAGCCCCAGGACCACCAGGGCCAGGCCAGTGTCCAGAGGACACAGGGGAGTTATTTACACAGGCCACACTGCCTGCTGCACCCTTCTGCCCTCATCACTGCCCCTGGCTACCCTCTGGGGGTGTCACTGCACTGCTTCCAGCCTACTGTGGGGACAGCAAGTAGGAAACGAGCCATTGTTCACAGCATATCCCAGGCCCTGGCAGCCCTGGTGAAGCAGGCCAGGGCAGAGGAGTCAAATTGGCCCCTGCAGTCGCTGTCCTATGCTCTCGGGGAAGGCAGGTGAGGCAGACCCAGAGCCAGCTCCATGGGCAGCCTCTATCCTGCACAGTGACAGAGTTGCCTCTGCCTGATGGTCTGCAAAGGAGTTATCTCAGGACACTTAAGATGTAGAATGAGCCAGAAAGGGCCACCGCTGGCCAAAGGCTGCTCCACTCAGACACAGGCCTCTCCAAGACACCAGCAGAGCCACAAGAACGCTCCTGGCCAGTGTCCAGCATGTTCAGGCCCTGTGTATGGCTGCAGGGGGCCCTGGCCCACCCACTTTCCCCTATAAGGACCAGATGAGATGAGCGCCTCCACTGGAGGCCAGGCCCTGTGCCTCCTCTGCACATCCTGGGACAGAGCAGGTTACAGCAGCCCCGTCCCACCCACCGGCCTGTAGCCAGGCCAGGAGCTACATCTACATGATCATGTTCCTCTCAAAATAATCTCACTCCAGCCAGGGGTGGCCAGTGCAGAGACAGAGACTCACAGTGCATCTCTCCACAAGTATTTAATTCTGGAGTCTAACAGGCAACATTTACATTCTGGGGGCTTCTTCTAATGGTCGATGCTTTGGTTCAAGGGAAATTACCTCATCTGAATCCTAAAGTTCTATTTATGGTTCTAATAATTTCCCTATTGACGACCAGGGCTGTTGTCTAATGAGAAACCCATCCCGTCACCGCAGACACAGTCTGTGCTCGCAGAGCTGGGAGAGGCGCCCTAAATCCCAGCCTTGTGTGGTGCTGGCCTTGCTGAGCCTCTGTCAATCACACAGACTGTGGACAGGCTAGCGGTGGGGTCACATGGGCCAGAAAGTAGATGAGGAAGGGACGCCTTTGCCCCACCATCTGGGTCTTGGCCTGTCACCTCCAGACCCAACTCAAGGTCACCTCTTCCAGAAAGCCCCTTGGCTCACCCACTGCCCTGCCTCAGTGCTGCCCCTGGCCCACCCATCCCAGGACATCCAGCTCTTGGTCCAGGAGCCACTGAGGGACAGGTGACAGCCAGCTGGCATTCCTATTGGCCTCATCAGGGTATTAATAAACGGAAGGGCATGGTGCCGAAGCCAGGAGATGCGAGAACACAGGGTAGTTGTCACACTAGGTGAAGGCCTATTAGGGTCCCATGAGCCCCCATGGACCCCAAATCCAAGGACAAGGTGGCCTCAGAAGGACAGGCCCCCACAGCCAATCATAAGGGGCTGGCCAAGATGGGGCAGGATTCTCAGCCTGACCCACACTGGAGGAGGTGATATCACGATAGCACCATCTTCCCAGCCTCAGAGGGGCTGGTAAGCCCAGAAGGTGAGAGCAGGGTCTGCCCCACATCAAAACTTGCATCTGACTTTGTTCCAGTGACTGCAGGGCCCTGCCTGCAGCTCTGCTGGCCCCCAGAAACACCACCAGGCACAGAGAGCTCGTGCAGGCTCTGTGATGACTGGGAAGTGTCCCCAGAACAGATGCAGCTTGTCACAGGGCTCTCTGCTCCTGTCCCCACACAGTCACCCAGTCCCCTGGCCCCATACCCACTCCCTGTCCCCTGACCTCCATCAGGCCTCAGCATGGGCCGTTCCCTCTCCTTTTCTCCCTGCTACTCAGTGAGTCCCAATCTGGGTGCTGGAGGCCTCAGCCTCAGCCTCTGTCCTCAGCACACAGATGGTGCCTCAAGGGGTACAGTGCCCCCAGGAGGAGGCAGCCCCACACTGGGCAGCCCACTGTGCCCTTCTGGGGAAAGGCCCCCAGAGCACCACTGCAGTGAACCCACCCCATCCTGAGCCCATCCTGGACCCCTTCTCCCAGATGGAAAACTAGGGGACAGAGGTTGTTTGGGAGACAGCACCCCCAGCAAAACCCATAGCTGATGAAAAAGTGGCCAGTGTTGGCTCCTTCTGAAGCCCTGGAGCTGATGCCAGCCCAGGGCCCCCAACCCCCAGGAATGTGTGCCCAAAGCTGGCTCCAGGGATGTCGTGCCCACCTCTGGTGGGCAACAATTACAGACACATGTCAGGGCTCTCTGGGGATTTGGGGGGCTGCAATCAGTCAACTAATCAGAGAGGCCAGGCCCACCTGCTGCTGCCCATCGACTTGGCAGGGCTGTGTCACCCAGGCCATGGCACTCAGGCAGCCTAGACAGCACGCTCCTCACAAGGGTGCTCACTATACCACCCTCAGTCACCCCATCAGCCCACTGTGTCACCAGCAGTCTCAGAAGCAAGGCCCAAACTGTCCCTGACAGTTGCTCCTGGGGATGCAGGAAGGCCCTGCCACTCAGCTCCATCAAGGGTGGATCTGACCCCAGTGAAGAGTCTGGGGCCTCACAGTGTCATGGACCCCCATCCCCAGTCCACACAGCCCAGCCACCAAGGCCACTTACCAGGCACGCTGGTGGTAGGAAGCTGTTGACCCTGGAGACACTCCACATGCCCTCCAGGCACTGCTGGGCCTGGATGGTGACCGTGCTCAGTGCCCCCCCAAGGCCCGCAGGTGCCACCGACACCTGGACACTGGGCCTGGGTGGCCAGGCCACCCCCTTCATCCTGTCAGGTCCCATGTGACTAGGCCGCTTCCCTGCAGGGCCTGCAGGGCCCACAAGTCCTGGAGAGTCCCTCAGGCTGGTCGAGGTGCTAGGGCCGGTGACCACCAAGCCAGGATCTCTGTGAGTGGTGTCAGGGTCCTGGTGGCTGGCTGGAGCCTGCAACAGGTGCAGGGCCTCCTGTGTGAGCTGCTGCAGGTGTGTAGCACAGACGTCACAGCGGCTCTCAGCCTCCGGGCGGCACGCTGGCAGGGCCCCCGATGCTGGAAGCTTGTCGAGGAGCAGGGTGGAGAGGCAGGGCTCCTGAGGACAGCAAGGGACAGAGGACAGTCAGCACCAGAACCCACCACCACACCCTGCCCTATGCAGTGCTGCAAGCTCTTGCCGTGGCCGCCACACCATCCATAACTGATTAATAAGCCGGAACAGTTTCATCCCCACGAGCCCAGCAGGAAAATCATTATCAGAGCTAAACAGTGAGGCTGGCAGAGCCCTGATCACTGTCTACCTCCCCACTGTCAGCAACCGCCCTGCCTGTCACTAACAAGGCAGGTTTGTGGCCCCTCACCAAGGCCACTGGGTCACAGGGGACTGTGAGGCTGGCAACATCTCTTCCAGAGCATGGGAATGGAGCACTCACCCTGCCTCTCCAGGTCTCCACCCCAGTCAGGAGTGGAGGAAAATGAAACTGGGGCAACTATAAATGCAGCAACCCAAGTCAGGCCTAGTGAGGAAACTCCTAGAGGGTGAGTCAGGCCAGCAACAGGGTGCCTGGTGGGCAGGCACTGGCCCCCAAGGCCTGAGCTGCCAAGAGCAGCCCCCTGCTGCCTGGGCCCCATTTCCCTGAACAAGGAAGACGCTGGAGTGTCTCTAATCACAAAGCTGGTGTCCAGAGATGGATAAGAACAAGAGTCAGGGGAACCAAGAGACCAGCCCTCCCCCAGCCTCAAAGTCTGGGAGGGCTTCCTAGAGGAGGTGGTGCCTTCCAGAAGAAGGAGGGAGTCAATCTGCTGAATGCCAAGAGGCTTGTTCCCATTACCCATCCACATCCCCTCCCCAGAAGAGCTCTGCAAAGGTCAGGGTCTGGGCCAGGACCAGCATCTGTCCTGCTCTCGGAGGAACAGGCCAGCCCCTTGGCATCTGCACCCCAAGGGATGAGCCCAACTGTAGGGCACTGGCCTGGGCAGCCCTCAGGATGGCACCAGCCCAGCCCAGCTGTTTCAAGTGCCACCCAACAGAGTGTAGGGTCCCTTCCCTGCAGGTCACTCTGCCAGCCCACAGTCACCCTTTCCTCTCCCACTGAGGCCTCCCTCCTACTGGCCACACCCCTCAAAGAGATTCCAGGCAAAGCCAGGCTCCAGCCAAGTTACTGTTGGCCACAAAGGGACCGTAGCCTCCTCAAACACACCCATGTCTCAGGCAAGGAAGCTGAGGCCATCATCCCAGGTGGTATCTCACTCACTCCACCCACCCTAACCTTGCCTTGAGCACAGAGGCCCATGAGGTTCACCCCGATGATCACTATGGCCCAGGGTGGCCAGTGCTATAAGGGTCACAGCCAGCCCAGCATGAGCAGGTGGTCACCTCTCCTTGTCCCCAGGACTACCCACCCACATTCCCTTCTTTGGTGGCACTCCCTCACCCCAGAACCAAGCCAGGTGGCATGACTGACCCCTGCTAGGCCAGTCTGGAAGGCCTGGCTTTTCTCCAGCCTGGGGTAGAGCCCGAGAGCCTCTTAAGTGTGCCTGGCCCAATTAGCCAAGGCCCTCCCTCCTGCTCCCCTAAGGGTAGTGCAGTCCTGCAGGAGCACTGCAGAAGGGGACAGAGGCCCCACCAGGCCAGCACTGCAGGACCCCAACTTGCTCAGAGTCTGCTCAGGGAAGCCAGATTCCCTCTGCCACTCTCTCTTAGGAGCCACCCACCGGCCAGGGCCCTAGGCTGAGGGCAGAGGGCCTGTTTTCCAGCCCAGCTCTGATTACACTGCATTTCCACTCAGCAGGAGGTGTGTGGGGGTGAAGGAAGTCCCCACCTCCGGAGCCACTGACCACACTGGAAAGGCCGCCTCCACACAGGCCAACAGGTCTCTGCCTGTCTCCCGGACCTAGGGCCTCTGGGGGAGCCCACCATGCCACCCCTATACCCACAAAGCAGAAGGCAGAGCCCTAACTGACCTGAGCAGACATACTCCCCCACCCCCGCAGGGCTTGCCAGGCGGAGGATGGAAGGGAAAGATGACAGGCCCCAACCTAGTGCCCTGTAGCAGCCCCACCTGGCTGGGCCATCAGGAAGGGGATCAGCCACTTCTAGGGAGTCCCCTGCCCCATCCAGCCCTGGCACCCAACACCAAAGTCACCAGGTGGAGCCAGCCAGGAGGGTGTACACTGGGGAAAGGGCCCAAGAAGCTCCAGCCCCCACTGGCGGTATAGCCCTGGTCCACCCAGCCACCTGCACAGCCCAGGACATCTGCAACAGGACCCAGTTCCCAGCAAGCACCCTGCAGGCTGCCCCATGACCAAGCCCTTCTGGTGACCAAGCTTCCCTCACAAGGATGGGCGGATGGGCAGCTGGGCCCACAGGGTGGGGGGCTCTCACCACCCCCACTGAGGCTGCCAGGCTCCATGGGGGCACTGAGAAGCCCAGGTCTATTGCTCCACGACAGCCACCCGCACAGAATGGGACTATCCTTCCAACCCTGGTCACACAGTCAGACAGGTAGAGACTGCCAGGGTAGCACAGCAACTTGGAGTGGGGCCGACAGCCCCCACCCCCAACTCCCGTCCTAAACCCTTACACACAGCCTGGCTGGGCTCAGCTGCTTGGGCAGAAACAGCCACTGAGCAGCTGGAACCCTCATCACACACCCTGGTTTAGGGGACGTGAGACCACCTGTCTGCTGGATGGCCTTGGGCCCAGCATGCTGGGGGCCTGAGACAGGATGGCCTAGCACTGTACCACCCCCACCCAGGTTCAAGGTTCCAGGGCAGAGGGTTAGGAAGTCAGGGAGGAAGATGAGGGCAAGGGTCTCCCAGATCACTGGCTGCTCCCCACACTGCAGATCCCAGAGACAAAGGCCTTCCAGCCTGCAGTCCTGTCTCCATCTCCACACCACAGACACTGACCCTGTTCTGCACCTCAAGCCACTTCCATGCAGGCAGGGCAGGGCAGAGCACCTTCTCTCACAGCCCTGTCCACAGGCCCAGCCCCCAAGGGGTCACTGCCCTGATTTCAGCCACCAGGCCAGCCCATCACCCGCCCCCCTGAAGCTCCAAGCCTTCGGGAAGACAGTAATTACCTCACTGCAAAATATTACTTTTAATTTCCTTTTTATGGTCTAATTAAACAGATATTTTACTTGCATTTAGAAAATATTCTTCTTCATTTAATTCAATTTAGCCCTATGCACAGCCCACTCATCACATGCCTGGGTTTTAGGGAGCCTCCCCCACTTAAAAATGATGACTTCATGTTTTATTTTGTTTCTGGGGTCTGCGGGTTGCCTTAAGTAATCTTTCCATTTTCTCCAGAATGGGAGGCCTACTGGGACTTTACAGGACCACCCACCCTATCGTCACCACCAGGAGACTCCCAGCTCCAGAGCTGGCCAAAGCATGACCCATAGTACAGAACAGGAGAGACCAGACCACCCCAGGCTCAGGCCACCAGGGAGAGGAGAGAAAAGAGGTCCTGGCCAGTCTGGAGAAGCCACATGATCAGGCAGGCACCTAGACCTATGAGACCCTCTCTGAGCATTCATCACCCCAACTCTACAAAGGAAGCCCCAGCAACCACCAGCATGGCCTCTGGGAGGGCCATCTGGCCCACAGGCCCAGCCTGGAAGAGGCCCTGGTACCCAAGTCCTTCCTTGTGCCACCACACAGTCAGGCATGTGCATGAGGACAGCCCAGTGTGGAGACCCCGCCAGCCACAGCCCCTATCTCACCCTCCCTTTCCTTCCCGACAAAGCGTGCTGGGCTGTGACCCTGTGTAGCCACCATTTCCGGAGTTGACAACAGGTCCAGGAAGGGACTTCCAGCTGCTGGGCCAGGAGACTGCCCCAGTGGGCCTGCTGTCGAGGACATTCCCCAGTGTCCTGCAGCCCAGTAGGCTCAATTTTCCAGCCTGGAAACTGGCGGGCCACACTTTGGTGCCCCAAAGACCCTACCACCCAGCCAGGCACCTCACTAAAGACCCAGACACTCCCCTGGTCTGCCAACCAGGACTCTGGGGACCATCCCCTCGCCAGGGACCAGCAGCTCAGGGCCCTAAACCCCTAGGCCTTTCTCCTCTGCCAGGGGAGGGGAGCAGGGACTTAACCCGGCCCACCCAGCACTGCCCGGTACACCATCCCCCAGGCCCTATGCCAGGCACCAGCCCAGCTGGACAGCTCAGGGCACAGACCAGCTCATTGAGACCCTGCTCCTCTCAATGGCCTCCCCTGTTCTCCACCCAACACCATGGCCAGGGTGCTGGGGCTCAGGGAGGCTCATGCAAGGTGGGCAAGGATGACCCCAGCTGCAGGTCCAGGGGCAGACTCACTGGAGCCTACCACACAGAGGAGGGTTTGGCATGCTACATGGCAACCCAGGAGCAGGCTGCGGCCACTGGGTGAGGCCTCAGTCTCCTCATCTGAGCAAGGGGGCAGCAGAGCACCCTCCACACTGCAGGAGCAGGGCCGCAGCAGGGACCAACCCCACTTGGTAGGTGCTCTGAGCCCCAACGAGGCCAGATGCTGCCCAGGAGGCCTGGCTGAAGAGGGGTCGTGAGGAATCAGGATCAGGCCCCACCCCCAGAGAGCTCCAGGTGTGCCTGGGTGGCAAGACCCTGGCCTCTCAGCAAAAGACTTCCTGGAATGACCTAGACTGCTCCACTCCAAAACCACCCCCAGAGCCCCTCCATGTCCCTGCCCCCACCTCCCCTTTTCTCCACTCCTGCACCCCGGATGGTCACCCATCTCAGAGCTTTTGATGCTCCCACCCATCTCATCTCCGTGGGTTTAATACTAAGGGAGATCAAATGTTGCTACCTCTAGAAGGCCCTCCCAGATGCCCCTAGTCGCACCTTCCTGGGGTCAAATGCTGCTACCTCTAGAAGGCCCTCCCAGATGCCCCCAGTTGCACCTTCCTGGGCTCCAGCCTAGGCCCACGCACTCTGCTTAGGACACAAGCCCTGAATAAGGAGCCATCAGGCTGAGTCTGGCTTTGTAGCCAGGGTAAATCATATATACCCCCGTACCTCCCACCATCCTCCTGCCTTGTGGGAATAGCAGAGTGCAGTGTTGGAGGGTCTGCTGACTGGTCTCCAGC